TTTTTTCTTTTGCCCCGAAAAGTCGATTTTATCGGGGGGGTTTTTTTTTTTGCCCCCCCTTTTTTTTTTTTTTTTTTTTTTTTTTTTTTTTTTTTTTGGTCGCTGTGTTAAATCTTCCTTGATGAGCCTAATTGTGTCATGCCTGCACCATTAAGTACTGGCCTAAACACAGCGCAGCTCTAATATATCAGGTGTAATCCAATCTAATGTGATGATTCCCAGTCGAGGATTTAAGGCGGCAGAGGGCGGGATCGAGTACTTATCCATGTGGGATGAGGCCGCACTAGAGCCGCAGGGGAGCGGGGTCCATAACTGCAAGATAATAGCGCGATCTTTTACCTGGAGATTTGCCTCCCATGAGGATAATAGCAGGAGGATTTCGTTTTAACCCTCTTTTTTTTCTTCTTGTTTTCTTCTTCCCTCCCGCGCCCCCTTCCGCCCCTCTTTTCCTTGTTGTCTCTGTGCAGGGTGGCTGTCCCGTTGACAAAACTCACAGGAACCAATGCCGAGCGTGTCGTTTGAAAAAGTGTCTGGAAGTGAACATGAATAAAGACGGTAAATGGGCTTGATTTAATTATGGCTCTGACTATAGACACGCCATGCTGTGGCGTTTGGTTCCGAGGTGGAAAAGTTTATTAAGGCTGTTAATGAAAGCTGCAAAGAAGCTGATAATTACCTGCTATTTGCTTGTTTTCAAGGGAACGTTGGTTGCAGCGTGGTGCAGCTTTCAATATAAGTTAATTGCTTGGACTTGTTTGTTTCACTGGCGCATCCGATGGGGGATGAAGGGAGGCTGTGACCCTCCCTGCACATTTGTATTTGACAGTCTTGCGAATGTTCTTTATTAATACAAATATAAGACTTTATTTATGCACTTATGTGCAAAGTTTGTTTCCTCTCTAACTTTGCTAACTTTGAAGTCTTTTTTCAGAACAGCTTTTTTTTTTTTTTTTTTAGTTTTTAATTTTTCAAATGGCATAAATTAAAAAAAAATCTAATTTTTAAAGTTTGGTAAATGTACTGGTGTCAAATGAGCATGGACAATTTCAATAGTTACATCTCTGTTAACATTTTTAGCGACCGTTTAATCTTTTCTGCTGCTTGTGCCTGAGCTGGCGTACCGCTTCTATGCACACTGCAACTGTTTGCAAATAAAACTAAAAACAATTATTGCACACTTCCATATAAACCTTGAGCTGTCTTTCTAAATCCGCCAAATGTGCACTGAAACTCTGATGATGGGTTCTGTTGGGTAATGGGCATTAACAGGAAGTGGCACCTCACATAAAATTCTGCTTAAAGCCACATGCAGCCCTGGACCATGCACTGACTCCCAAGTGGAACTTGATTATTTGTTTTGTTTTAGTTTTTAACTTTACACCTATGTAAAAAAAAAAGAGCCACATTTTTACAGGCACTCTCAATGAATGCAGATTAGATTTTCTTAAAAGAAGGCAGTTCGCTCTTTCAGAAACCATTCCTTGAACTCCGAGTGTCCGCTGTCCCACTTTTGCAGCCGTCCAGCATGAAAGGGGGCCCCGGACGTCCACCATCCGCAAACAAGTCGCCCTTTATTTCCGGGGCCACAAAGAGGTGAACGGCTCCTCGACCCACTTCCCGGGATCTTCGCTGCCCGGGCCTCCCTTCTTCACCACGGTCACGCAGCTGGAGCCCCACAACCTGGAGATGAGCTCAGTAGCAACCACGCCAGAAAGACAGGCGATCGTGGGTTTAGCACAACCCACCCCCAAGGTACGATGTTCTGAAATGTACTCTAGAATATTATTATTTCTTTTTATTATTATTATTTACTAAAACTTTAATGTTTTTTTTATCAAAGAAATGAGCTGAAATAATATTAAGAGATTTAAAAAGCCTAGAAAACCCCTTGAAAAGAACACACACTCAGGTTTGATGATGCTGTTTTAGTTGCTCCAAATAAGATTTTTTTTTTTTCTACAGAGGTTAGAAGCTGAAATTCTTGTCCCGATTTAGCATCCTGTAAGAAGCACAAATCCGCCAATTAGATTTTTCTCTCCCAGTCCAGCACAAGAAACACTAATGATTATAAAATCACATGCCGGAGCTTGGAATTTGATCTTTGCAGCTCGCTGTTCTCTAAACTGTGATTCACTAAGGCTTTTGACACGTGTTTGTTTGTTTTTTTGTTTGTTTGTTTTTATGTCTCGCGTCCTGCAGTATCCCCATGAAGTCAGTGGCACCCCAATGTATTTATACGAGGTGGCCACGGAGTCCGTGTGCGAGTCCGCAGCGCGCCTCCTCTTCATGAGCATCAAGTGGGCCAAAAGCGTCCCCGCATTCTCCACCCTGCCTCTGTCTGATCAGGTAAACTTTAAATTCGTGACCTGCATCGAATTTTGTCTCTATAAACCCAAAATCTAAGTAAGAACACGTGAAAAGATTAAGCATTTAACGTTTATAGAGGTGTAATTTGAATATTATATATATATATATATATATATATATATATATATATATATATATTTGTCTATATAATTCAACACCTCATAATGTACGCCTTTAGAATCTATTGTTTCTTTTTCGCAATATTACCAAAACAATAAATAATGGAAGAACTAAGTTAGTAAGGCAGCAACTAAAGGCCGTAAGAATCACAGGTTGTCTTATGAAGTTGGAGAAAGCAACCAAAGAGCAAACACTGGAACAGAGAGGAACAAACAGCAGAAAGTCACATGTATATACTAGAGGCAGAAGCAAAAATACTAAATTATTAAGGAAGACTTTTATTATTATTATTATTATTATTATTATTATTATTATTATTATTATTATTATTAATCAACTAGAGTTCTCTTGCTCCAAAAACAGTTAACAATCATCAAATGTGAATGTTAAAGAAATCAAAAGTAAGGTTTTAGCATTCTTAGTAGAATATCTATCTGAGGCCAGTTATTGGACAAATAACACTAATAATGTACTTTAAAAAAAAAAAAAAAAAAAAGCTAAGATAATTGTCACCATTCGATGTGCTGTACCAGATAATGCCAAAACAGGATAATATGGTCCAAATACTCAAATTGACTAAATTTCACAGTGCTGTGTGTGTGTGTATTAAGGCTGTGTAAAGTAGCTGATGGATGCTGTTGAGCCCTCAGGAGTTTTACGGTGGTGAAGCTCCTGCAGTTAATCTCTTCACTGTCTGTGGGCTGACATTATGCTCTGTCAATTCACACATCATTTGTTCTCATTTATTTATTTATTTATTTACTTCTATTATGTCACAGTTCCTCAGCTACATGATTAAGCTCAGAAAGTGTTTTGAAGCCATAATGATGTCACAAAAATGTAACTGAATGTATCCGGTGAGTTAGAGAAACACCAACAGTCAAAAGCTTTTTTTTTTTTTTTTTTTAGGAAAAAAAAAAAAAAAAAAAAAAAAACAAAATCAAAAAAAAAATGTCAAAAATTAAAAAAATTTCATGCGGCTTAAA